GCATTACGTATTAATTTTTTTACATATTTATATAATATGTACTCATACTTATAGTTCTTCTATAGAAAATTAGCACCTATACAAGTGTTATTGAAAAAACAATTTCATCAAAAAATTACATTCACGTACTTTCATTAGATTTATATGAATTTGAAAAAAAAAAACCTTTATTACGTTAGTTCTTAATTAATGTGCAACATGCAAATATTAAATTAATCTATAGCAATTGTCAAAAAATATTCAATCATTTAAAAATTATAGCATGTTAAGAAATTATATAATATATAGTGCTTTTGTTCATTTAATAGATGATTAATAAAAATTTCCGGCCGTAATGGCTGTTTAAAAAATCATTGAACCGGGCCCGCCAGAGCTTTTCTGATTTCCGGCAATAATGATGTTATTCAAGACACGTGCATACGTAAGTATTCAAACCCATTATTAGAATAAAATTGTTAATTCCATGAAAATCCCGCTTCCTCTAAAAAGCCAATAATAAAAATTTTATTGTCGCTGATTTCGGGAGCATTTCTAAAAATAATTCAAATATCATAAAATGTCAATTTCAAAGAGTTATTTTAACCTCATTCGACATTTCTGACACATTATTCAGAATTAATTTTTTAGAATAACCACCCTGTAATAGTACAATGGCTCAACTTTATTTAAAAATCGAACAGGTCTATGTTCGAAAAATTTGATCAAATGTTCGAAAAATTTGATCTTCGAATGAAAAACCCCAAGAGATTTTTGACCCAATTGTCCCACTTCTTTACACCCATTTCGTGTTTTGCCATACATTCGAAAATATTTTATTATTTTTGTATGCATATACAACAATAACAATATTTTTAATGCATTTTTTTCTTTCTTTGTGCAACAAGCAAATTGTTTACGTGTGTTACATACATTTCTACATACATAATAACATCAAAATATTTTAATAAAAAAAAACTTAAATCATCAAAATAATAAAAGAAAAAAATAATCGAAAATGTAATAAACGAATGAGCGAAATTAAAAGAAAAATTAAAACCACATAAAAATGGAATTGAGTCATATTCGTCCGCGTGCTATACGCGTGCATTTATAAGTATATTATAAAAGAGGGGGGGGAGGCTGGCTTTTGCTGAATGATTAATTTTTTTTTTTTAATTTTTTATTATTAAATTTAAATTTTTTTTTTGTATATTTTCAATGGTTTTAAATTTATTTATATAAATATATATGTATGTACATGTGTGATTTCATATACAATTAATTTTTTTTTGAAGTATGCATGTTTATTTACTACCTTAAGTGAGTTCATGCTTTTTCACATCAGATTTTAAAATCGGTAAAAATTAACTACCTTTTTTGACTCGAAAAATTGTGCAAAAGCTCGACTTTTCGAAAAAATTTTCATTACTTCGTAATTGCCAATATTCATAATTGCTGAAATTTATATTATTTTTAATATTTTACTTAAAATTCTTAAAATTGCATACTTACAGGTGCAGACACATTCATATTTTGAAAATTTTCAAATTTATTTCAAAATAAATGCACGACATTCACACAAATAAAATCATTCACATTCGTTAAACAAATCATGCAAATTAAAAATTTATTGAAGTTAAAAAAAAAAGTAAGTATTGAAGTCCAGAAAAGTTCCGCCATAATTAATAATGTACAAGTACATATTTAAATAATTATACAAAAATATTGCTTTAACATAATATTGAGGTACATTTTCAACAAAATGCCAGTTAATATTATTAACCATTAAAAACAATTCTTTCAATTACCTTAAATATACTCATAATGCTCGCACACATATACATATTACAAATATTAATTTAAAACCAAAAATTACATTACTTTTAAAAGGCACTTTTAAAAAAAAATTTTGAAAAATACCTAAATGCTAATGGGTAATTTTATACCTGCAGCAAAATACATATTTAAGTAGGTACCTACCTACATATATAAAGAAAATGTTAATTAAGAAACAAAGAAAATAATAAGATAAGCACAGAACAAAAAAGAAAGACACAATATTCTTGGTTCTAAAATCATGAATGAACATGAAGTTAAGGAGAAAAACAAAAGAGAGAGAAAAAAAACAACAGCAGTGATACTGCCATATCAATTCAAGTAGTCAAGTCATTCAATGTAAAATCACGTAGAATAGCAACAGGTATAAAATGCAAAGAATATTATTGGTAACATTTATTGCGATATAATAAATTGAGAATTTTTCGAAAACAGGAAATTATTTTTGACGTGAAATACAGGTACCTACACAAAATTTAAAATACATATGTTCAGTAATATGACTATTTATTAAGGGTATATAATATGTATGCAATACATATGTTCATTATAATATAAACTGTTTTATAAACAGGTAAGTTTCATTCAAGAAGAAAAAATATTTCTATTTTACATATGTTTTATTTTGGAAATTCCTAATTTGAACACTAATTTTTCAGGTATACCTATAACACTTTGAAAATTTAATGAATTATTAAAATCATAAATAAATATTTAACAAATTCCAAGATCAATTGTTAAAATTCTGTATAACATTAACATTACAAATTTGACATGAATCAATTGTCATAATCTTATCAATTTTGTTAAAATAGTTGCCATTAAAGTGATAAATTGAGAATAAATTTGCTTAAAATTTTAATTAGGCTCATATTCTTTTATAATGTTATAAATAATGTATACTATGTATATATATATATACATAATATATTTCTTAATCTAGTATATACAGTTGAATCTTCACAACAAAGTTTTTATTTTGCAAACTAATTTAGTTCATGTTAGAGAGAATTCCCGTTATAGGGGGACGAAAAAATATATTATGTAAATGCAATGAAACAATTCGTGTTAATGAGAATTTCATTTCACAGAAATTCGTGTTACAATTCCTAAACTAATTACTGTTTAAATAGGTTAATTTTATGTTATACAAATATATAAAATAATCCCTTTAACGATAATTTTTAATAATTATAATTAAATTAACTATTCTCTTAATTCTCTTATTTCTCTACTCTAAATACAAACGAAAATGAACTGAAAAAATTATTTTTTTTTTAAATTTCTGTATTCCAGTTTTCTTTTGAACCTCACATGCGAGTACATACATAATATACTCATACATATTTTGTTTATAACAGTATAATTTTGATTTAACTAACCATAATATTTTAACGATCACATTTTTATATTAAACAATAAAAATATAATAAAACACTAATAAAAAAAAATATCCTTAATTTTTTATCACCTTTATCACATATTATTATCCTTTCTTTTTCTTTAACAATTATACAAAATTTTCAAAATATAATAAAGCCGTTCTGTATAATGATTAATATAAAAAAAAAACTATTATACAAAAGGCATTTAAATTAGCGTAAAATATATTTTCTCAGGATAGGCAACAAGGGAAAAAAGAACAACCAAAAAATTGTGTTTTCAAAATTCTTAATCTTCTGAGTATAACATTAATAAACACACACACAAACCTATTATTGAATCTTAAATAAAAATCTATTTAATTTAATATTTTTCTTTTTTTCAAATTTGGCATCCTAAAAAAGTGTACAAAAATTCAATATTAATACAAAAAAAAAAAAATGAGAAAAATTAATAACGAAACCTCCTCTATAATAAGAAACATGAGATGCGAATTGAATAACGAACAACAGCTGCTGCCGTTAAAAAACGTTTCAATTTTTATTTTTTTTTTGCTAAGAAGTTAATATTGTGTGAAGAAGAAGAAAATTTCCGTAATATCCTGACTGATGATGACTGACTAACCGTTTTTTACAATACCTTAATAAACATACACATAAACACCGAAAATTTACTCTATGTATATGAATAGGAATTTGGTTTTTCTTTTCTTATTTTTCTTAATATAAATTCGGCCGGTTGTTGTCGTCCGTTAATAATCAAAAAATTGAAAGTATATGATGGAATAAAATTCGTATGTACTTATCTATTGACCCAAAACAATTTCATAATGATGAATCTTTATTCTTCAATATAATATTATCTTCTTCAATATACATACATACACATATCCCTTATATTGTATTATATTGTAAATATATTCAAACCAGTTCAATCTTTTAAATTGCTGATACCTATTTTGCAGTTATTCATTGATAGCTCATATACATAGTATGTATGTATGTATGTACTTACTTACATTCGTATACGTTATAGAGAACTGAGTCAACATTTCTTTTATTTTTTTGCTTTTAAAATATTTTGTTGTTATCTTCTTCGTTTGCTTCATATATCCAATCAACAATATTATATCAAAAACACAAAAAAAAAAATAATGATAAAAAAAGGGCAGGTGGTTTGAAATCGTGTGGGAACCTCACTTCGAAATTGTTTCCCACGATTTCGAAAAAGGTTTTTCCTTTTCTTTTTTTTTTCTGTCTCTTTATTATTGTTATTTTCCCTTTTAGCAATGACGATGAGTATAACAACAGGCCAGCCTGATGTTTGCATCAGGCTAAAACACTTGGCGAGAATCACATGAATTTATTTACTTTTCTCTGATATCGCATTGAAAAAAAAAGGCCTTCTCTGTAGTAACCAACAAACATATAGGGGTAGTTGAGTATGCTGTTGTTGTACTATTCTACTAATACAATATACATAAGTATAACTAAAAAAAAATGTATATTTTGTAATTTTTTCATTTTACCTTTTTTTCAATACGATTTTCAGTTCAAATTTATGAGAATATTAATTTGAGCTCTCACCAATACACTAACATATAAAGAGCAATGAAATGAAATGAGTAAACATAAACCTGATTACTTGCAGTACCGTCATAAACAAATACATTAGAAAATACGCACATGGTAAAATTTTAATATAGGGTTGCGTTATTCATGCGTATACTTGGCTGGGTATATAAAAGACGTTCATTCTCTTTAAAAAATCATTCTCTGTTTTCAATTTGAACAGTTCAGATCTCAAATTAAACTGAAAATATAATATTGAAAAAAAAAAAAATTTATATTTGATTTTAAAACCAAAGTTGAAGTTTTTAAAAAAATTATAAAATTAAATTTGAATATAAAACTAATAAAAAAATTAAAATATAATCAAAATGGAAAAATTAAATCATATGTCAAAAACTTATCAATACCGTAAAGTTAAAAAACCAATGCTGGAACGTAAACGACGTGCTCGTATCAATAAATGTTTGGATGAATTAAAGGATTTAATGATTGAATCGATGCGACAACAAGGTGAAAATATTAATCGTTTAGAAAAAGCTGATATTCTTGAATTAACTGTTGAACATCTAAAGAAAATAAAAACAATACAAGTAGAAAAGACTTCACCAAAATATACATCAGTAATAAAATCAACAAAATCATCATTATTATCACATATTGATAGTTTTCGTGAAGGTTATGTACATGCAGCTAATGAAGTATCAAAAACTTTATCAACATTACCTAACATTGATATAAAATTGGGTACAAAGGTAATGACTCATTTGGGACATCGTTTATTAGAAATTCAAGATGAACAACAAAAAAGAGTAACTGTTATTCAATATCAGCATCAAAATCGAATGCAACAAATCAATTCTTTAACTGTATTACCAATAAATTCTACACAAATAGATAGTTATCGTAGTAATATGTCAAGTCCAGCCGCATCATCTGGTTATGGTAGTGATACGGAATATTATTATTCATCAAAATCAATCACTTCTGTTGACAAACAACAACAACAAATTGTTTCAGTTGAACAAAATGTATGGCGGCCATGGTAAATTTTTCCCAAATTTAAAAATGGGATAAGAATTTAAATAATTTCCTATATTAATGGTACCTTGGCAATTGGCTGTGAAATATTTTGCATATCTGTGATAACATAATTGTTTTTCAATTCGCACTAAATTACAATTAAAATTAAATAGAAGTTAATTAAAAATATTAATTATTTTAAAAACAAAAACTATTATTTTGAAAAATAAATAAATAAATTGTAATGACAATAGTCTTTTTAACATTTAGAATAGCTTGAAAATTTTATAACATTTATGAAAGACAAGAAAAATATAAGTAAATATTTTAATATTGTTAATCTAAAATCAAAATGTCCTATTGTTTTTTACTTATTTTGGTTTTTTAGGTATTTTATTTAAAGAATGCCATTTATTAAACGAATCTCAAAGAATTCTGAAGTGGTAACTTTTCAATCGTAAATAAGGTGCTCCGAGAAATTTTTTATTGAAGCAGAAACTTATTGACTTATGTAATGTGAAACACAAATTAAGAGGTCTTGAGGAACTGAGCATTTTTTTTAAGATTTTAATTTCTATTCATCCAAGCACCAAAATCGATTTAGAAAAAATTTATAGAATATATTTTCAGCTCGAATTATTGACTTATTATTCAAAAGAAAAGTAGAAAAGATTATTATTAAAACTTGAGCTTAATAGAGGGGGCAATATATTTTTATTTTACAAGGATTTTAGCTTATTAAGATATTGGTCTTTCTGACGTAGACTAATTGTTAGTGATAAAACAAAATTAATGTTTTTTAATTCATCTAGCAAAAATGTTTTAATGAATAGCTGTACTGACTATAATGATGAAAACAAGCATTCTGACTGTTGTAACTCCGCTATTGATTTTGCAAAAATGTCTAATTAGAAAAATTTGCGACAGGCATCGTTTATTTCGCAGTATGGATTTTTTCAGGAAGTTAAAGATGCTTCCAGTTAGACAACTTTACTATTATAGGGTTTTAAAGATTTTTTACTTAAGAGATGGTTATTTAAATAATAGAGCTTCAAATCGTTATGGTTTACGTAATAATCAAAGAATTCTAGTTAATACTCCAGTTTTTAGAACAACAAATTACCACAACTTTTTTGACATAACTTCTGTTCGCTTGTTTAATAAACTTCCTGAACAAATACGTGCTATTAAAGATTTAAACAATTTTGTGAAGGAATAGCTTTTAAGTTTTGAGCATTGTGAGTAGATAATTTGTTAACTAACCTAACTTTTTTTTTCATTCCTACTTCGCTCCTGGGAAGAGTATAGGGCTGGTGTACGATATTGTAGACAACCATGAACACCATACGTCATGGAGTTTACTATATTTTTATACTTAAGGTTATTGATATTTACTATTATATTTGGATATTATCGAAATATGGCAATTAATTAATATTAATATTGAAAATAACTTTTATAGTGACCTGACTGCGCTTTGAACCCGAGACTCTTCTGTAAAAAGACGAGTGCAATAACCACTGTACCATTGGTCAGGCAAACTAGCCTAACTAGCTAATCATAAATCCAAAATTTTATATACATGAAAAATACAGCTCGCTTCGCCAATCGAAAACACAGAGGTATAAATTTATTTTATTTTAATTTTTATTAAATATTATTTACAACTTAATAAAAATTAAAAAGTGTCATCATTCTGACCATTAACTTTGTCGGATTTATCGTTTCCGTCTTGTTAAATTTCCCATTTTACGAAATTATATTCAAATCCATCAAAATTTGTAAACAATATTTTGTTCCTTTATTTCCCGTTATACTCGTAACTACTTTATATGAACCAACCAAATTGCGGTCGCTAAATTCAAATGATGATGAACAAGTTAGGTTTCTAAATTGCAATATGAGCTTAACAAATATATAAGTAATATATAATTTATTTTCTACATAAATATATTTATTAAACTTACGCCTTTCTCAGGAGGACATGTTGCCAATTGTCCTTCAAAATGTTTTATAGCATCATACCACACTTCATTTGGTTTAAAAAGACTTGCACATAAATCTGGACGGTAGATCGAAAAGACACACCGAACCCATAATCCTTGTTTTTTTACATATGGTACAATTCTCAACTTGTACAAAAAAAATTTATAATTTTTTTAAAACTTTACCTTTATATTGTAAAAATAAGGTTCGAAAAAAATTTTGTTGTAACAACATTTATTTTTATTACCTGAAACTTTTCGCCTGGCGGATAATTTCTTAAAAACCGTACAGGACCTTGAGCTATAATATCATTCTGTGTAAGAGAAAATGATAGATTTGTCAAATCCATTAGTTTATCAATAAAAATATCCTCACGTCCGTCACATGGAGATATAACACGATCATCGAGTATATTTGTCACATATTTATAAGAAAAAATCTGAAAATAAACATTTGATTTTTTATTATTAAAGAGCAATAAATAATTTTTCTTTAACCCACAGCATTAAATGTTGAAAAAATGAATAAACAAATCAGGGTTAAATATGAAAATTTAAAAAATCGAACATTAGCCATTACAAATTTAAAATTATGGGAAATACGAATTATTTATCGAAGATTTAAATTTAAATGACACAAATAATATGAAGTGCACTCGTAAAATGTTTATTGCTTCTTTTAAACTTTTCTGTTTTGTTATCAATCGACAATTTCGTAAATGTAAAATAATGTCATAGCTTTTGTTTTATCATGACACTTTTGTTTTATTAACACAGTGTCGTTTGGTTACAAATTTTTGAATAGAACAACTTTTTTGTTAGTAATTCATTTCTAATAAAACATTATGGTTAGTTTACAAGAAAGCACATTTAAATTTTTGTTGTACAATCACTCGGTTTTCTTTGCACGCAAGATCCGTTTTAAATAGAAATTCCCAAACGAAATTTTACGATAACCGAAATGATGTTAAAGAATTTTAACAAATATGCTTAGAAACTTGAAACGTCAGACTAGAAAAGGCAGCCCGCAACTCGCCAACAAATGCAATAATGAAATTAATTTGTGTGAAAGAAGAATTTTTATCACTCATACAACAAGCACTTGATGAGCAACAACATTGCAAACAAGCACATGCAAAATATACATATAAATATACGTGTCGGGGAAAAAGTACTAGAACCCTTGATGGTGGTGATGAAAAAAAAAAATGAGTTGCAATAAAAGAAAGACATATGAAATTTCAAACGCTTACCGAAACCAGTGTGGAATTAAGAAACCATCACAGAAACATCTGCAACAAAATTAAGAGAATGGTCAGGAAAGACAGGAGAAAATTTTAGAGAAACATCAAGATAACCTCAAACAGCACGCAAAAACAAACATTCATAATAGTAAGCAACTACCCGTACGAAACATGAACGTCATAATAAGTTCCTCCACAGAAAACCTACTTAGCACATGAAAAAAGCACTTGGCAGAAACAGTCTACTAAGCAGACGTAATAAATATTGCAGAGGACATCACAATAAACCAGAGACGCCGAATATACGCGAAATAATAAGAGTCCAAGAAAATTTAAGCCTGCAGAAGAAAAGGAATTGATGGCGTGGCAGCTGAACTATTAACCGCTGGAGAGGTTATCACTGAAAATACACCGCAGGATTTTCGCGAAGTCAAGTTCCACAAGCACAGAAAAACATATGGGCTTTAATACTACAGGCAAGCACTGTATTATATAAGTCTTAAACATATAATAGAGCACTCGGGTGCATGGAACATATGCAACATGTATTGACTTTTAAAGAGATTTCGACAATAAGCGAAGACATAATACACATGGTAATATTTTAATATAGGGTTGCGTTATTCATGCATATACTTGGCTGAGTATAATAGACGTTTATTCTCTTTAAAAAATCATTCTCTGTTTTCAATTTGAACAGTTCAGATCTCAAATTAAACTGAAAATATAATATTGAAAGAAAGAAAAATTTATAATATCGTCGTCTGAGTGCTAAATTGCTCTATTCGCCACCAACACGAATTCGAGAAATTTGAAAAAGAAAGTTTGAACCTTCATTTAAAAAAAACATGTTCGAATGATTTTATTTTAATTTTGAAGTTTATTTTATTAATTATTTATGTACAATGGAGTGAAATTTCATCTATCCAAGTTTAGATTTTTCGGTTATATTCAATTTTTTTTTAATTTTTTTTTAAGTTGCAGTTACTTTTACCATTGCATTATTTCCAATGAGCTTGTTAATACTTACTGACATCTTTGCACATGAAGAGTTACAATTATGCAAATGGGCCACATTAGAAGTGAAACTTAATTTCACTTCTAATGTGGTCCATTTCGAATATTTTACAAGGATTGCATACATTTAGCATGAACGATTTGCGCAGGCTTTGATATAAAGCAAAAAAAGTTTGAAGAGGTGTTAACATAGTGCTGAATTTTAAGGGTTAATTGCGTGAGTTAAGAAAAATAATTATATTTTTTAAAGGAATGGAGTTTAACGTTAGATTTTTGCGTTTACGAAAATTGGAAAAAGCTTGCGGATTCGGAAATATAAAGTGTAAAAATTCAAACTTTACAAATTTTGAGAGGCGGTAACTTGAGTGGGGTGGAGGAAGAAAAAAATTTTCTAACTTACTGAACTATTTATTAGTGTCTAAAAGTTATTAAAATTTTAAACTTTTACAACCTGGAGTCTAAAAGAAAAACGACATCAAAAATTTTAAATAAAAATTTTAAATAAAAAATTAATTTTAGATAACGGTAAATTTTAACGGCCATTTTGTTTTTTAAAAATTTAACTATAGTATGCCGCGATAGGAGAAGTAAGCCACTGCTTTTCTGTGTTGGCAAAATTTTGCAAATGCTTATGTACTGCAATAAGTAGTTAAAAATTGCATTTGTTTATTTGTTTTTTGTTTTTAAACCAAAGTTGAAGTTTTTAAAAAAAATATAAAATTAAATTTGAAAATAAAACTAATAAAAGAATTAAAATATAATCAAAATGGAAAAATTAAATCATATGTCAAAAACTTATCAATACCGTAAAGTTAAAAAACCAATGCTGGAACGTAAACGACGTGCTCGTATCAATAAATGCTTAGATGAATTAAAGGATTTAATGATTGAATCGTTGCAACAACAAGGTGACAATATTAATCGTTTAGAAAAAGTTGATATTCAAGAATTATTGAAAACATAAAAATTTTAAACTTAGCAGTTTGTTATTTAATTTATCTCCAACTTTTCTCTGTAAGTCAAGTTTCAAAATGTGCTACAAAAACTGAAACAGTACAAAATAATTTAATGTAAAGGTTTTTGTTTTAAATTTTATCGCAAAAAATGTAGAGGGTTCACATATATTACCAATCAAGGTCCTCATAATGATCGGTGAAGCGAACAGCTACCCGAATTGAATGAATTTGGTGAATTCTGTTACTTTTCAAATAATGATCGGCAAATCATTCATTCACACTTTGTTACTTCAAAACACCAAAAAAGATATTACCATAACGTGAAAATAGTTTAGAGATTTTCATAAACGCATTACTTCGAAACAATAATTGTAAACATATATATTTTCAATTATTTTATAAGGTCAAAAGAGTTGAAGAAAATTTAACTGCGCTTCTCATACTAATTATTAAATTTAGTAATGTTTATGAACAAACTAGATTAGCAACATTTATGAAAGATCATTTGTTTGTAATTTAAATTTGGTTGTCATTCGTTAAGCATACACACAGAATTTTCATTCGACAGCGAATTTAACAATCATAATACCAAAATCGTTAAAAAAATATAGCACGCTTCGCCGATCATCTGGATCAAAACGCAGACTTATAAATTTATTTTATTTTAATTTTTATTAAATATTGTTGAAAAATTAAATGAATCTGATCATTAATTTTATTTAATCCTTATCATTTCCATCTTGTTAAATTTCCCATTTTATTCTGAAGCTATATTCAAATCCATTAAAATTTGTACACAAAAATTTGATCCTTTATTTCCCACTAAAGTTGTAACTACTTTATATGAACCAACCAAATTGCGATCACTAAATTCAAATGTAATTGAACAAGTCAAGTTTGTAAAATCCAATATGACCTTAACAAATATATAAGTAATATATAATTTATTTTCTACATAAATATATTTATTAAACTTACGCCTTTCTCAGGAGGACACACTTTTAATTCTTCTTCAAAAGGTTTCACCGAGTTATGCCACACTTCATTTGGTTTAAGAAGAGATGCACATAAATCTGGACGGTAGACGGAAAAGACACACCGAACCCAAAATCCTTGTTTTTTTACATATGGTACAATTCTCAACTTACACAAAAAAATTCAAAATTTCTTTTTAAATTCAAATAATGTAAAAAATAAAATTTAATTATAATACCAATCTTTTTTTTACCTGAAACTTTTCACCGGGCGGAAAAACTTTTATAAACTTGACGACACCATGACCTATTATATCATTCTGTGTAAGAGAAAATGATAAATTTGACAAATCCATAAGTTTATCAACAAAAATATCCTCACGTCCGTCACATGGAGATATAACACGATCATCGAGTATATTTGTCACATATTTATAAGAGAAAATCTGAAAATAAACATTTGATTTTTTATTATTAAAGAGCAATAAATAATTTTTCTTTAACCCACCGCATCAAATATTGGGAAAGTGAATAAAAAAATTAATGTTAAATATAACAATTTAAAAAATCGAACATTAGTCATTACAAATTTAAAATTATGAGAAATACGAATTATTTATCGAAGATTTAAATTTAAATGACACAAACAATACGAAGTGCACTCGTAATATGTTTATTCCTTCTTTTAAACTTTTCTGTTTTGTTATCAATCGACAATTTCGTAAATGTAAAATAATGTCATAGCTTTTGTTTTATCATGACACTTTTGTTTTATTAACACAGTTTTGTTTGGTTATAAATTTTTGAATAGAACTTTTTTCCTAGTAATTAATTTCTAATAAAAAATTATGATTAGTTTGCAAGAAAGCACATTTAAATTTTTGTTGTACAATCTGAAATTTAAAAACAAAATACTGCATAAACATAAAAAAATTGTCCAACCATATGGAACTCTTTTACTCGGTTTTCTTTGCACGCAAGATCCGTTTTAATGAGAAGTTCACGTAATGATGTTGAAAAGTCCCAACGAAAAATGCTTCAAACTTAAAACTTTTATGTCAGTCTAGAAAAGACTATTTCGAATACGAAAGGTGAACGTTCTTTCCCAACAAACAGTTCTTCTATGGAACTATCCATAGAATAGAATTTGCAGCACACATACAAGAAGCACTTGATGACAGACAAAATTTATGTTCACGTGCGGAAGAAATATTATTAGAATCCACCAAATTAGAGAAAAATTAATGACCCTCAGAAGAAGCATGAGCAGCAATAGAACAAAGGAGACGTATAAAATAGCAAAAGCTTACCGAGAGCAGCGTGGAAAAGAATTAAAAAAATGGCCCGAAAAGACATGACTGAGCCCCTCAGCTGAAGAAACCGTGAATAAACAGACAGTCAAATATTAAACTATAGGAGATTTTTAGGTTTTAACATTATTGGGCTTAATCGTCAAGGTAGTATATTACGTGCAAGTAATTAATTTTTAATTATTCTTGTAAATTTCAGTTAAATATTCTGAATTAGATTTGAGTTTTCCTTTACTTAACTATAATTATTTTTTTTTTTTTGTGATTTATGAAAACTAGTAAACAGCTTAATGTAAAATTTAATTTTATTAAACTCGTAAAAAACTAAATAATTTTAATATGTACTCACTACAATCGTTTAAATGATTTTAGTGAGTACATATAAAAAATTGATAATTCTCGCATAATATCATTAACATTTTCTTAACAGCCGTATAAAAATTGTGCTTTTAATTTTGTTAGTTTTTTATAAAAAGAATACCGGGTTAATTTTAACATATAACAGTAACATGAAGCACCGTCCACTAAATATTGTACGAAGTATACGAGTATTGTATTAAATAATAGTAGAACATATCAACATAAAGATCAAAAATAAGATTAAATCTCTATTTATATATATATATATATATATATATATATATATATATGTGTGTATTTATTTATTTGTAAATTATCTTAATCAAATCTCCCCTTTTTAATTGATTCATATATATACAGGGTGTCCGGGACTCAATGGTATTCCCGAAGCAGGGTGATAGAATACATGTAGACGAACAAAAAACACCTAGTGACATTTTCCTTTTTGGGCCCTTGTTCTCGAGTTATGGGGCCTCAAAGTTGGAACATCCAAAAACCGGCTTATTTTCACATTTTTATTTATAACTCGGGAAATGTGACAGGTAAATCCAATCTTGTACACTCGTTTTAAAGCTAATGAAATACTCATTCTAACGGTTTACCAGCGGTTGCAAATACTTTTTTAGTTTCAGAGATATTTAAGTGCAAAGTCAAAATTTGTTAAAAATTTTTTTTTTAAATTTTCGTTTAACCGTCATTTACTCATAATTCCTCGTTATCAACCTATCATTTTTTTTACAGGAAGACGAGCCCTATATTCTGACCTTCATTTTGATATGACATAATGTGGGAAAAATTTTAGAAATAACATGTCTATCAGGCGAAAACTGAGGCCAAAACCTTAGAAAATTAACTAAAACAATGTATTTTTCAAACAAAAACAAATTTTTTTAATCTTTATTGCGCAGTATATGCATTATTAACATGCACTTTTTTTTTCAAAACGAAAGACATTTGCATTACCTTTTTTTCTCCACAAAATATTTCCAAAAGTTTCAGGAATATCGTGTCTACGGGGATCAAATTTATAAAAAAATTAGTTATAATCGATAAATTAGTTATAATCCAAGTAATGTTCACCCTCTGATCTTCTGCGTATATTGATATTATTCTAAAAATCCAATTGTTGATCTTCAGGTATAGTTAATGTAAAAAATTTTAATTTTCATATTACTTACAAGAACGTTTTTTTGTAAGTAAACTTCCTTTTTTTATATCCATATATCCTTATAATAATACTTTTACTAATACTTTTAATTGGTACTTTTAATATTCTTATTCACATGAAAGTAGAGTTAGTAAGTATTTTAGTATTCTTAATCAGAAAAAAAAATTAAATACTTTTTATCATAACTACATTGGACCCTATTGCTCCAACCACTTTTCGCTTTTATTTAAATCAACTTAAGTATCAAAAAAATTGCAAAATTTCTGTTGCATCAAGATTTAAAACACTAATGAACTTCACCTAAAAAAAAGTACTTTTAATTTTGATTCATATTATTTAAACTATTATTAAGGGTATGAAATAGAAAAATTTGTATAAATAGCATTTTAGTTAATTTTGATCACTTTAATTTGGCTTTCCTAATAAAAAACACTCTTGTAAATAATAAGAAAATTAAAATTTTCTATATTACCTACAGGTGAAGATTACTAATTACATTTTTCGAATAATAACAAAACACAAAGAAGGTTAAAGGGTGAATATTTCTTGGATTATAACTAATTTATCGATTATAACTAATTTTTTTATAAATTTGATCCCCGTAGACACGATATTCCTGAAACTTTTGGAAATATTTTGTGGAGAAAAAAAGGTAATGCAAATGTCTTTCGTTTTGAAAAAAAAAAGTGCATGTTAATAATGCATATACTGCGCAATAAAGATTAAAAAAATTTGTTTTTGTTTGAAAAATACGTTGTTTTAGTTAATTTTCTAAGGTTTTGGCCTCAGTTTTCGCCTGATAGACATGTTATTTCTAAAATTTTTCCCACATTATGTCATATCAAAATGAAGGTCAGAATATAGGGCTCGTCTTCCTGTAAAAAAAATGATAGGTTGATAACGAGGAATTATGAGTAAATGACGGTTAAACGAAAATTTAAAAAAAAAATTTTTAACAAATTTTGACTTTGCACTTAAATATCTCTGAAACTAAAAAAGTATTTGCAACCGCTGGTAAACCGTTAGAATGAGTATTTCATTAGCTTTAAAACGAGTGTACAAGATTGGATTTACCTGTCACATTTCCCGAGTTATAAATAAAAATGTGAAAATAAGCCGGTTTTTGGATGTTCCAACTTTGAGGCCCCATAACTCGAGAACAAGGGCCCAAAAAGGAAAATGTCACTAGGTGTTTTTTGTTCGTCTACATGTATTCTATCACCCTGCTTCGGGAATACCATTGAGTCCCGGACACCCTGTATACATAATAATATCATTAACAAAAATCATTTATTCACTCAAATAGACAACCAATATCAAAATTCAAAACTGTAATACCAAAAATAAAAATTTTTTTTTTCGTAATACTCGTATACGCATATAAACGTAACGTTATACTATACCATATGTCATAATTTTCGATTGTAAAAATCTCCAAAAATAAAAATAAATTAAATTAGCGGTATTGTGTATGTGTGTATGTAAACAATATTATAAAATTAATACATATATAAAATATTATAATAAAAATCTTCCAATAAAATATTTATATGCCTATACAATTAATAAAATATACAAGTATTAGCTTTTACCTATAGTATAACACTTTTAATTCTCTCTAATGACATACTTCTCTAATTCTGAGTTAAACTGAGCTATATATACGAAAAAAGAACACGATATATTTCAGAAATCCCTTCATAACCTTAGTTATCTATATATAGCATTTGTAAAATTTCAATGAATTCAAAGGAAAATATTATTATTTTATGGGATTACAATTTAATGCTCGAATACATCTTACGATACAATAAAATATTATACGCATACATCTATTTATAATAACAGGTAAATCAATATTATATAGGTAAACGTTTTTAACCCCCCCGAAATATTCATATTAAAACCAAAAAAATATAATAAACGTATTTTATGAATTAATAAAGGATAATAAAATTTTTAATATATATTCGAATATTATGTTTAAAAATTAAAGGTTAAAAATAGTTCGAAGGGTCATTCATCTAAGATAAGATAAAATCTAATTTTGAAAATCTACCTAGCTAAAATTTTGAATAGAAATAAGCATACATGTATGTACATACAATGTATATATTTAGATAATATACAAAAAAAATTTTTATTGCACCATATGTACATCTTTACATTATTTATCTTTTTGTCGAATAAAATGAATAATTCCAGTACCATGGTCATGAATGAAAAATTTCAATTGTAATCAGAAGAACACCTATAGTGTTTGGAAAATATTTTTCTCCTTCTATAAGAAGGATTGTAAGTGTAAGAGCACATTCGATTCGTAATATTGGAAGTGTTTAAGCAAATTATGGCTATACCAATCAAATTTCACTGCTCACTCTATGAACTAAAATAGTTTCTTTCGTACTTCATTACAATAAATATCACATTGCTTAGAAATCACTAAAAATTTTACTGTATACAATAATGTATCTTCATATATAAAAAATATAGATTAGCCACTTAACAAATATAAGCAAAAAGAAATTAATCCTTTCATTTTTGCGTATACCTACTGCTGAATGTAAGGACTTCATTTTTTTTATAAACAAAATAAAATTTTTTAAAACATTTCTTTTTACTTTAAATCCTTTCCGGTTTAATAAATTGACGCCACATTAAGTGTATGTAAAGTATTTACGAAAATATTAAAATTTCCATTTAAATCTTTTGGCAAAAAAAGGGCAAATTGTAGGGCAAATATTTGTAAAAAGCTATTGTAATTGAGAAAAATTAACTGAAGCTTTATAAGTGCATAATAATCGCGTTATTCTCAATTGTTATATTTACATTAATTCCCATTGAATTCACATACATCTCTGTAAATACCTAAGCAGGTGAGGAGACTATATAATTTAATAGTTATCATCATTGATTTACAGGATATATCCAGAAGCCGTCTATGAGAAAGCAATTTGTGATATAGGTACAGGTATCAAAGTCAATGGTACATATTATAGTAATGCTTTCGGTTATCATAGTAACCGTTATCATAGTAATGCTTTCGGTTTATGAGACAAAATACATGATAGTAAGAAGATCGAGGAAACCTTATACATCATGGAAAATTGAAATCGAAAATATTCCAGACGAAAGGGTAAAATCTTAAAAATATCTTAAGTGCTGGTTGAACGAAGATTGAGCAAGAAGCTGATCTATCAAACACAGAAATCTGCTATACAATAGGCAATTAAGCTTGGTTTTATGCTTGTAGAAATGTGGACATTAAAAATTAACATAAATAAATTTGAGGCTTTTAAAATGCAGCGAAGAATGCTGAAAATAACTTGTGTAGATCACATTGCAGGCGAAGCAGTTCTCAGATGAGTGAATACGAATGGAGAACTATTTCAGAGTACAAAACGCAGAAAATTGTTTTAATTTGCCTATTTAATACGCGGCCCTAAATATTTTCTATTCCAACTAATCATTTAAGGAAAGATCAAAGGCAGGAGAGGTCTTCGGCACAACCGTAATATTCGTTTATGTGGAGATGGATCGAAACATATATGAATATCTGGTTGCTGCAAGCTGTTAAGATTCATGCATATAACTGCTGACGTCCGGAAATGGACATGCAGAAGAAGAATAGTTTAGAAAACCAAGGTTTAGGCTTTTGTCTAGTTATACAAGTAATTACGCGCAACGAAAACCTTGATTAAATTTCCTATATGAAGTTGAAAAGGATGTATCTGGAATTTTTTGTTTTGGTTACGTTGTGCGATCTAAAATTACAAATTTATTCTAAAATTGAAAATACAGTTGTAATGAATCATAGCTGGGTACATGGGTATTCTATTATTTTAAAGCAAAATTATTATTTAATATTAAATTATTTACAGAAAAATTTTCCAGGAAAACCGGTTCATACTTTTTGCCCTTACGATAGAGCAAGCAGAATTTTGCTTAATTATTTTTTATATTAAGCAGTCTAAAAGGTAGAAGAAGAACCGCTTCTCTTCGTCACAACAGCCTCTACAGAAATAGTTTCCGCGCCGGTGCATTTTCCACTTATGGCAATAATATTTTAAAGTTTATCCTAACGTTATGTTAATATTATCCTTACGATAAGTTACTGTTGTAACTTATAGAATTTACAATATTCATCAATATAAAATTTTTGATTTTTATGATATAAAATTGATTATAAGTAATCAATCATTAATTAAATTTCAATGACAGCTGATAAAAAAAAAAAAACAGATTCTTACCTCTTTGATTTTTGGCGTACACATGTTTCTATTGTTGAAACAGGAACCAAATCAATATCCTTACATAATACGTATATGTCTTATATAATAAATAAGATTAAAAATTGTGATTGAACATGATAAAATCCTTTTCTTTTTTTATTTATAGTTCAATATATCCTTTATCGTCCCTTTGCTATCTTTGTAACTAAAACAGATAATATGGGGTTAGCGGGCGGTTTAATAAATACAATTAAATTTTTGTAAAATCATTGCAATTCAATTGCCTTTCATATAGTTTAACTTTTAAATTTTATAACAAGTTGATTGAAAAGTTTTTACACTAAAATATTGTCTAACAAAAAAATATCAATCAATTTTAATTAAAATTTTCATTGTACTTGTTTGATTATCATCTGAAAGTACATAGGTACATAACATTTAATTTAAAACAAGTGTTTAAAACCGTATTTTAAATTAATTCCATTGGCATGTTGTAATTCCATTGGTATTTAACTATTTTATAAAATCAAAAAAAAACAAAAATATAGTTTCGTACCATTTAGTTGCTTATTACATCTGTGCGCGACAAACAATATTATACAATTAGATTTCGTAATATGGTGTAAAATTAATTAAATTGTATTGTATTTTTATGTATACCAAAATTCTATTACAAATTATAACAAGAACATCCTGCCCCATTATAGACATACAATTTATTGACATCAATTTTTCGTAGAGAAATCATTCAGAAATCCTTCTGGAATTCAGTATAAATTTAAATTTATTGTAAAATATTTCAATATTCTTAATGAATTTTAAAGTATTCCAATAATATCGATGCAAAAATAAAATCAAGACATACAGTCTTTGTATGTATATCAAATCTAAAATTACTGAAATTTTTTCAAAAAAAAATCCCTCAAATTTTTTCTTTATAAAAAAAATTGTTTATAATTAAATATCTTTGTGTACAATCGTAAATTATTATTTATTACAATTTAGTATTTAAAAGTCTGAAAAATAAAATTTTAAATTTAAATTTTTTGCAAATTTTTTTTTTTGAATATCACTTAATCATATTGTCCAATAATTTATGAATATCAACAAAACTATTATTACCCTATTCAATGAAGCATATCAATATGCATATGTATGTATGTATATTAAAAATATTATTCGATTATTAGAATATATCGCCTGCTGTTATACAAGATTTTTCTTATGTCCTTGGAGGAAAATTTTTAAAATTGAATATTTGACGGAAAAAAAAAAATAATCAAATATTTTATACTTTATTGGTAAAATATTTTATATATATGTATTTTTGTAAAATATTTAGAAAAAAGGATAATTTTTAGCAACAGTGGGACTTTGATATTAAAATTGTCAAATATATTGATAAATAATAAAAATTTGATTTATAAAATAAAAAAATGTTGGTGCTTTAAATTAAGATATCTTATAGATTGCACCCCTAACCATGTGCGACCCGTGTCTTGATTAGAGCAACTTTTCTAGCCCTACATTTTTAATGAATCCGAGCAATTTTCCTGGGGAAATAATTTACATTCATTGAGAAGGTACATTGCGTTCTCCACCCCTTCTCCACTCATTCTACACCGGATCTACAATGTCCGTCAGTTCCCATGTGCAATTTACTTTGGTGTTTTTTAAGCCTGCAGTGTCCCATCAGAGAACCCGTGATTTCTCACATGATTAACAAATTATTGCAAATTTTCAACTTGAATAACAAAAAATCTTTCAAAATATTTGTGTTTTTTATAATAATTCTAATAACTCTAATAATTCTAATAACAAATTATGAACGAAAATAGAAATAACAAAAGTATATTAAAAATATTTTTATATGCCTATATAAGCCACTTTATATATGCAAAAATAATTTGCCAAATTTCTTTGTGTTTTGTTTTTTTTTTTTTTCAAAAATTATTACAATAATTTATAACCTCAAAATAAAATATTTAATTAAAATATAAAATGAAAAATTGTTAAAATATTTTTGATAATAAATTATTTTTATATAATATGCATTTGAAAATAATAAAAATTTGAATAATTATTGTGGTAAGGATGCACACACATGTGTATAACACAAAATATGTAAAACACAGTAGGTATTAATTTTTGTGTTATATGTCCTTACAATATGTACATAAAATATCCTTTAAATTGTAGAATGAATTTGTTCATTGATGAGTGAAAAAATAAATGGCACGTGACAAATCTTTTTTTTTTTTTTTTTTGTTAATGTTAAAAAAATTTAACAAAATAGCTATTGTCCTTTTTTCTTTTCTTTATATTTACTCGTAACATGTACCTATTGTTTCAAATGTGTATTTACATATATAGGTACAACTATATATATTGCCCATTTAACAATAGATGACCTTTGTTTTCCAATATAAATAAATAGTTGCTCTTAAAAAAATGGATAATAATTCCAAAATAAATATATTTTTGGTGTGCATACGAGTACAATGTTCAACTTAAAAATAATTTATTAAAATATAGAATTTTACTGATATCATTAATATTAACTAATTTTTATAGCCAGCATTGAGTAATACAAATTTATATGTATTTATTTTGAAAAACAAATATCTGACATATGTATGTATGTATACATAAATGGTGTATACATATGTCATATATTTGCATAATAAATTAATGTCCTTCAAAGAAAGGAAAAAAGATTCTTGTAGATTCGTCCCTTACTAATAAAAATTGAACAATATTGTGATTTTTTTTTGAAATTTACTTCACTTACATTATAAAATTTTTGGAGTATTTTTAAATAAATATTGGCCATCGCTTTCCCATATAGTTTGAAATTCAACATATTACGTATAAAAAACCTGCAAACAAAACAAAAAATCTGAGTATATAATTCTTTGATTTTTCTTTCTTGAGATCTTTCCGTTGTAGTAAATGAAAATCTGCCATCGGTGACTATACTTTCCCGCACTACTCATGGGAACAAGATGGAGAACGTAAACAACAACAACAACAGTAACAACAAAAACAACAACTGTGACAAATACAACAACTGCAACTACAACAACAATAACAACAGTGACAATTACAATAACAACAACAATACTAATGACAACATTAATACAAACAGAGTTAGTGCTCAAGGGTCTGCGGAACCAGAGCTTCTCTCGACTGACACAGAGGAGGAACTCCTCACGCCAGTAGAGGTAAAGGCAGCACCTCCGATGGAGACGGATAATCAGGATCCTCTTGGACCTATTATCCAGCAAACTGAGGAGGACCTGAAAAGGTTGGACATCAGGAGAAAAAAACAATATTTCTCTGGTGCATCCAAGCGGCGTATCGCAGCTTATATCAGTGATGGCATGTCCCCAGAGGAAGCTCGCAGATATAATAAGAAAGGCTAGAAAAGTTGAGGGCCTGCGGATCGGGTGTTGTGGCCGACCATCCCCAGAAGAGGGAAAGGTCAGAAAGCAACACCCCTGATGCAGGGCCCTCAAAAAAGGGGTCGATGAAGGGCAATGTTGAGGGAAAGGTCCCTGGGAACATTCCTCAACAAAACCCGAAAATGACTTCTTATCCGGATGCAGTAGCACAGGTCAAGGTGGCCATCACTCATAAACTGCATCCAGAGGAAAGGCTATCCGAAGTCCAGATGGAGAAAATCAAAGTAGCTACATGGATGAAATGGATAAAGTTGTGAATTCTCATCCACAATTCCCTGCAGCTTTGCAAAGGGATGAATGGATATCCGCAACATGCAACAGTCAAAACACCAGGGAGTGTTACGGTTGCAACGGTACTGGATGGCGACGACATGCCCAAACAGCATGTCTGCGTCACCTACGTGCCAAAGGACGAGACAACCATCAGTCTCTCCGGGGACAAATTTCTAAGTAAGATAGGGAAGCAAAATCCCGTCCTTTTCCTTATTCCCACGGAACGGGGGCTGCTCCATTACCTCTTCCGTGAATGATTCCAGATTGGAAGATCTACGGAAAGCGGAGTTCCGACTTTTCCTGAACTTCTTCCGTGTTACCGTTTGGGTTAAAGGAAGAAAATCCTCTCAAGGTGCTGGTGGCAGGGCAGGACAAAATAAAAACCCAACGCCCACCGCGACAACGACGAGTACTTCAAGCCAACCAAAAGAGTCATTGGAAAGTCTGAAGTCGCTCCGAAAACGGCGGATACGGAAGGACCGTATCCTAGTGTTGCACCTAGAACGGCAACAGAGGCTGTGGCAGGGCAGGCGCCCACCAAGATACGTAAAAAGGCGGTAATGGGAAGCAAGGCTCATGTAAAGCCTTTGTCTAAAGTGCCAAAGCCCATAGACAAGAGCCGGAGGAAATGATATGGCTGTGAGGTGCATCCAAATAAATCTACAGCATGCTAGGGCATCTATTGATGTTCTAGCTCATAAATTTATGAAGGATCACCTCGATATCGCCCTTATCCAAGAGCCTTACATAGTGAAGGATCAGGTTAGGGGCCTAACAGATGAGCTTTTGTATGATAATACAATTGGGGGCAGGCTTTGGACTTGCATTTTGTTCAGTAAAAGGCTAACGTATTTTCCCATTCAAGATTACTGTTCTAAGGATCAGGTAGCTGCGTTGGTGAAAGTGAAGTCTTCCGGGGGTTGGACAGAATTCATTGTGTGCTCATCCTACCTCCCGAGAGACTGTGCCCACCCAGACGAACAACTGAAGAATCTGGTGGACTTTTGTGGAAGGAGGAACTTCCAACTAATAATAGGTAGTGATGCCAATGCCCACCACACCGTCTGGGGAAGCAGTAATATAAATAAAAGAGGTGAGTGCCTACTTGAATTTATATATAGCAATAAATTAATGGTTATGAATGAGGGCAATAGGCCGACATTCATAAATGCAATTAGGGAAGAGGTCCTTGACATCACCCTTTGCACTGAGTTTAGCGGCAGTAGGGTTAGTGGATGGCATGTTCCAAATGAGACATCCATGTCCGACCCCAGGCAGATTCCAATCTACAGATTGGAGTCAATT